CCATCCTGAACGTATTAACCACAAACAAAAATAAAACCTCACTGCTGTCGAGTGGGATCCAACTCTTAGCGACCTTGAGTTTCCGAGGTGGTATCACTACAGAAGTAGATTGTCCAATCTTCTTTCCTTTCTGAGGAGGAGTGGCTGGTGGGTTTAAACTGCCAGCCTTCTGGTTACCAGTCAAATGCCTTAGGCATTGCACCACCAGAGAGCTCCCTGTTTAACCTCTATCAGCCTCAATTGCTCCATCTGTAAAATGGAATGTTACTAGTGAGGATTACATGAGGTAATGCATAGAAAATACCCAGCACAGAGTAAACACTGCGTCTATGTCACCTGTTGTCGGTTTCTGTGATTTATGTATTTATCCGTTGGTTCATTCCACAATCCATTCCCTCTGCAGCATGTGTCGGGCACTGGGGCTGGTACTTGGAAATCATGCAAAGACACTTTCAAAATAGTGTGCCAAGAACTATGATACACTGATATATCCAGTGAGGGGAGAGAGGGAGTTGGCTTGGACGGGGCACAAGGGAACTTCTTTTTGAGGATGAAAATGTTGTATATCTGGATTGAGGTGGTGGTGCACACTGTATGTTTGCCCAAACTCATTGAAACATACATTTAAAATTGGTATATTTTGTTGTATGTAACCCTAACTCAATGAAGCTGATTTAAAAAAAAAAAAGAAAAGAAAAAAAGCAGCCATGGGTAAATTTACTGAATGAGTAATAAAGGGATGAGTGATGGATGAATGAATGCAGTGAGTGTGTGAATGAGTGTCTCATATAATTGTTCACCTGTCTTAGTGCCACCATTGTCCCAGCAGGGGACAATGGCCTCCTCTCTCCGGGGTCTACGAGTTTTCCCAGAGGCGGGACTTGGAGCCACTCCCACCCCAGTGGCAAGGAAAGTGCCCCAGTGTGCTCAGCCAGAGCCCTCCGGCTCCCTAAGGCTGCTTCTAGAGGTTCCCGGAGGCCTCCCTTCCAGCTGCCACATGCCAGCCCGGCCAGCTCCGGCTCAGCTCGGTGGTGCCAAGGTCACGAGTGTGATGCCCAACTTCAGACCCGCAGCGCCGGCAGCGCAGCCGCCAAACCCTGGCCGACTGTGCCACTTGCTGGCCGTTCTCGGAACTACACACCTAGAGCTCCAAGGAAGCTGGCACCTTCGCTGAGGACTCAACCAGGGCTGAATACTTTATTAAGTACTCTTATGGAACCCTCACAGCTACCATGTAAGGTAGGCTTAGAAACACGAGGAAAGTGAGGTATAGAGAAGCTAAGAAATTTGTCCAAGGTCACACGGGTAATTACAGACCTGTGATTCTTCCTAGATCTGTCAAACTCTATGTGCTGTGACTGCATCTTGTGTGTGTGTGTGTAAGAGAGAGAGATTTGGGATTGTCCCCTCTCCCCACCTCCTGGAAAGAGTTCACAGACTCACACTACCCTTTCAAATTCACCTTCCAGAGATGGTGATTGGAGGTGAGCAGGTCCTGGGCAATGATATGAAGATAGATGGTTAGAAGGCCAGGTCTTGAAATACCATGCCCAGAGCAAGGTACATCAATACACACTCCACCATAAACTTTTTTGGTCAGTCCTCCAAGAAACCAAGCAGAAGGAGCCACAGATCAATCAGAGTTAAGTCAAACAAGGTCTTGAATTTGTTCCTTGGACCCAACTGCCTGTGTTTTTAACTGTGCTTTTAACGCAAGAATAATAACTGAGGAGTGGCATATTATTTTTACATCTTATTTGCATATGATTAATTCTAAGTCAAAGTGAATGGAGGTCACCCGGGCCCTCTCCTGTCTCAGCTCTGGCACGTGCCTGGCCTTGGCCACCTCCTCCAGCCCTAGGCCTGGGCACCACCCATTCCCCCAGTCTCTTCCCACCCTTCACCCCTGCCACCCTTTCCCCAGCTCCCAGAAGTCCCGCTCCCTTCCTCCTCTGTCGCCCACACAGCCCCCGCCACCTTGCCGCCCACCTGAAAAACTTTTCCGCAAGTTCTTGAGAAGTCGCGTAGGATCCAGGAGAGAAAAATCAAAGTAATAAAACCTCATTTAATTCCTCACGGAGGGCAGAGCTGTGAGCTGCAATTATCTCAACACTGAGCTATTTTTACTCTCCGCAGCTCTGTCTCCTGCCGCTCTTCCTCATCCTGAGGCATCCTCTCTCCCTCCGCCTTCCCTGGTCTCTTTCTTCTCTCTTTGTCCTACCTTCCCCCTGTCTCTGTCACACCTCCTGTCTCTGTACCGTTGTCTCTGCCATCCTTCCTTCTTTTCTCTTCCTTCCTGTCCGTCCCATCCCTCTGCCTGTACTTCTGGCAACCAGTGTCTCCCACCTCTGGGTTTTAGCAGCCTGGGTTCCTGAGCAAAAGCTGGTGGAAGGGGGTTAACCCACACACACCCCAAAGTTTCCCTAGTCCTGACCCAGCTGAGGTGCTCTGCTCTCTTCCCCCTTCCCAGCTGCCCCAGCCTGGGGCCAGGGGAATTTTTGCCAATTCTTGGCCTCCCAGAGCCCCAGTACTTGTGACAAATCCTCCATAAACAAACCTCCGGTCAAATGAGGCCCAGCTAGGGGGCTCCCAAAGGCCTTCTCAGCTCCAAGTGCCATTCATGATGATGCCACTCTGTCCCTGTCTTCTTGCCATGCACTCAGCTGTCCTCTGTCTCCTTCATCCCACTCCAGCACCCCCGCTCATGTCCCCTAACTGGAGGCACTGAAGGTCGCAGGTCCACACTGCGGCCCAGTGGCTGTTCATGCCTTTCCTGTACCTTCCCTTACCCTATTTACCCTCCAGTGGCATTGCCAGACTGCTCTCTGCAACTCCTCACCCCACCTCACTTGGAACAGGGGTTCTGGGCCAAGTCAGGGGCTGCCAGAGATGCCCACACCCAGGGCCAGCAACCTGGCATCCGGCTGTTTCCCAACAAGCATGTAAGTTAACAAATATAGCAGATCAGGAGCCAGGCTTGGAATTAAGGGTGTTTAGAGCTGAGAGGGCAGCACTTCCTGATCCCAGGAGCAAAGCTGTGCCCTGAGGCCACCTTCCCTCTCACTCTCAGAGTGGGCATGGACACTGTGGCACCCATGGCCCCATTTCCATAAGACACTTTTTTGGCCTCCTGCTTCACCAAGGACCCAGCAGGCTGGGGCTGGGAGTGGAAAAGTTGCTGAAGGATTTGGGGGTAGGGAGGGCTCCTGGCTGCTCCAGGCCTGAGCGTGACCGGGAGAGAAAACAGCCAATATAAACAAAGTCCCAGGAAGACACACACATACGCATATGTCTACTCACACCCACACACACGCATGCCTGCATGCACACATGCACCCTTTCCGTGCTACAGAGAGATATTGAGACCCTCAGACCCTCACACAGAGTCTGGCAGAAGGAAACGCCCACTCCTCAAAGACATCCTGGGCTGGACAGATAAATAGGGACATTCCAACCCAGAGGGCCAGCTTCTTCCCTTCCTTCCTCCAGAGACCCACACAAACACCTCTGCAGAGAGAGAGAGAGAGAGAGAGACCTCAAATGAGCACACACACCTCTCTCCCCCACCTCTCTTCCTGAACACAGTGAATTCACATGCATGACGGCATGTGTACTGGTACAGGCAGACCTCCCTGACATCCCAACATGCCCTGGGCTGGCTCATTCTGGGGAGAAAAGGCAGGAGATACCTGAATGCAGGGTACATCATGACAGGGACATAACCCCACACACAGGTTCCCATGTCCCACCTGCTGCACAGGCTCTCAGGCAGTGAAGATGCAGTGCCCCACGCCCTGCAGACAGGTACATGCCTGCCCATCACCTTGACAGCCTCTGACATCCTCCCCCACACCCACCCCCACCCCCGCACGCGAGAGCCGTCCTCCCACACCCTGCCACTCATTCCCAAATCCCTGACACTCTGACACACTTACTCACTCACGCAGACTCACACACACTCACACCTCACTGACCCCACACACACACACGTATACACACACTCACTTGCCAGCTATAGGCAACAAGGCCCCCTGACACTCACTCACACACACTCCCTGCTATGATGACTGACACATGTCCTCCTACAAGCAACCCGCTCGTTTACACTCACACGCTTTCTAGGACACCCCCATTCACAGCGTGACATGCTGCTACTCTCTCCACGACCTCACAGTCCTCCCCGCGAAACTGCAAGGACCCAGGCCTTGAAGGGGTTAAAGCCAGAGTCCCATGGCTCCACTGCCCGCCACCCCTCTCCCTGCCCCCAGTAGCCTCCCTGCTGGACTCCATCAATAATGCAGTTTCAAGTTCTGGGGAGACGGCAGGAGGTCCCCAGCCTGCTCCCCCGGCCCTGGCTCTCCCTCCCCACCCTCCACCCAGGCCCCGGGAAAACACAGATCTGGGTGTTCATTGGCCACTTTCTCCTAAGCCCTCCCATCAAGCACCCGGGGCCAGTCTCGGTCCGAGGAGGCTGACTAGCTGCGGACCCCAAGGCTGAGGCCAGAGGGGTGAGCCCAGGAGAGCCGGAGAGACGCAGGCAGCAAGCGAGGCAGGGAGCAGGGGACCGAGGAAGGGCGGGAGAGTCCGGGAGAAGTCGTATAAAGACCATCAGACACAGTGAGGGAAGGAGGCGCGACGGGCAGCGACGCG